CTCGGGTCCCAGGGCAAATTGCAGCCCTCTGGGCGGCCTTGACAGCACCTGCAGTTACGATTATCTATGACAGCTTTAATTTCATAATAACATGACTGAAGAAAATAAATATTTTCCTCTTGGCAAATCAAAGGCAGCTTACGAGCTTTGGCGTGACAAATCTCTAGAGGAGTTCCAGGGACATGCACCCACAGACAATTTTGTAATCTAGGCACTATAAAAGGGCATCACCTGCAATGCGCGGGACATTCTATATAATTCTGAAAATTATACAGTAATTACAAAATCTTAAGTATCATCCACTTTGTTCATCTGATGAACCATAAGTATGTTATTAGTGCGGACGTTCGATAATTTGGCAGTCATCATTCAATTTCTATTAAATCATTCTCATTCAAAATGTTTTGCCGGATTAGTTCAGTTTTTCTGCTCATTGACATTGTCTCATTTTCTTTTGTTAATTAACAACTTGTCAAAGCAAATTTTATCACTGCACATTTTACATTTTACCACTGCACATTTTACATTTATCGCTGCACAAATTGGTTATCAGTGCACACTAAAATTAGGTATGCGCACACATCATTGCAAGTCAAGAATTACATGTTGACAACCGCCACGGGATGACACAGTAGCGCCGAATTTGGACAAAGTTGAGGTTTTACCTTGTCAGTGGTTAAACAGCTAATAACTACTTGAAACCTGGTTAAAAATTGTTTAAAATGTGCTTGATACCATTATGTCTGAGCTGACTTACATATTTGGAAAGATTTCAACGAGTATCGGCGATAAACAGTGGAGTAAAGTGGCAGATTTGGCCAAATACGTCCATTTGCAGGAGGTGGGTACATTTCAAATTATTATTTCGGTCACAAAATATTAACTCTTTTACACCAAAACAGTGATAATATAATTATTAAAAATAAGTACTAATTATGTTTCTATAAAAAAGAATTAGGAAAAAAGGTAATCTAGGTCCACTGTTGTTTATCTGAAGTTGTAAGCCACAAATTAACGGCTATCTTTAAAACAGGGAATGGGGAATCCGGGAATCGGGGAATCTGGGAATCCGGGAATCCAGAACTGATAAGACGGGATATTATGAATGTGCTTGTTGGAAAGCGCATTCGCTACTGTATACAATGCGAATCAGTTGTCTTAAATAATTCATGCTTATGATATATTATAGATTATAACAGCGCTGTGCACATGCCTATGTGATTTTAATAACATATAATTTTATTAATTTCAATTATAGACATTAGCGTCTATAAAATTTTGTTCCAACGCGCAAGTTTTTTGAATTAATAGACTGTAAAATGCATGCATCTTACAGGAAACGGGATAACATTAAACTAAAGCCCACGCTTTATATGTTAATTATTAAAGCCAAGGGGCGCAATTCGGCGGCGGCGGCGACGCGGTATATTTTTAGTTTTCATTCACGGATACTTTGTAATTCCAAAATACTTACAGTACTTTAAAATTAACCGATTTTTGATTATTTTTTAACAACTAAAAATCGCGCAGATTTGGTTTAAGCATACCTTGGAGTTTTTAAACTCCACAGTAATGTACCTTAAAGTATCCGTGAATAAAAACCGTACCTCGTCGCGCCCCGCCCGCTTTAATATTTAACATATAAAGCGTGAGCTTTTAAGGCCCGTTTACATGGGCGATTTTTACTGCAATTTAAGTTGCGATTTTCTCCTTTTGGAGGATGTGAAGAAATGGATGAGTTATAAATATTCCAGGTTATGAAATCTCATAACAACATCATCAAGTAATCTACTGCTTCACATCCTCCAAAAGGAGAAAATCGCAACTAAAAATCGCAGCAAAATCGCCCGTGTAAACGGGCCTTTAGTGTTATCCCGTTTCCTGTATGATGCATAAACTTGCGCGTTGGAACAAAATTTTATAGACGCTAATGTCTAATTGAAATTAATAAAATTATATGTTCAATTAAAATCACATATGTGCACAGCGCTGTTATACATAGATAATATATCATAAGCATAAGCGGCTATATAGTAAGACAACTGATCCGCAGTGTATACTGTATGTTCATCGTCTGTATTATTCTAAATAAAGTAGCAAATGCGTTTTCCAGCAAGCACACTAATATCCCCGTCTTAACAGTTCTGAATTCCCGGATTCCCCGATTCCCCATTCCCTGTTTTAAAGATAGCCCAAATTAACATTTTCTTGTGAAATATCAGTGCTATAGGCATTTAACACTTTACCAATGACCACCCCTAAAAGCACCATTACTGTAAGTTACTTTGAATACTATAGTATTTCAAAGGTCGTAGGTTCGATTCCCACCGTGGCCAGGCATATTTTTCAAGTGTATATTTTTATAGTGCGGATACACACTCAGAGTAACACCACAAGCATCAAAGACGTTCTGTTAGCATGGATATCTTGTAAGAAAGCAAAGTGGCAAAATTTTGAGTTTTGTAAAGTTGGAGAATGTGGCTATATCATTTACATATTCCTACTTTACAAAAATTACCAAGTAAAAAGAAGATTGTAAGGCTAGGAGCATCGCCAATGCTAGAATGCAGTATCAGTTGAAGTCTGCTATTGCGTGGAATTAGACCGGTTTTGCAACGTTTCATTCAACTAAATGCAGGAAACCTAGAGGAAAATCCCAATAGAAAACCCCGTCTGAGGTCTGACTTGAAATCGTGCAAATAAAATGCACACTATTTTGAAAAGAAAATTCCGTACGGTGGAGCACATTGGCTTTACTCAACGGTGCTCGACGTCATAAAGAAATGTTTTATGCTAGTTATAAGGTTATAAATGGAATGAATGTATTCCTATTGTCCCATAAATATGTCGCATATCGTGTTCTGATTGGTCGTCTAGCCGCTGCCATGCATTGCTTTCCACCTCCTGTTTTCGCCATTTTGCTATTCACCTCTCAAAATTTTATGTCCACTCAAAACGTTCTTAAGCATTTTGATTGGTCGAAAACACGTCAAGGGCAAAGGTCAATCTACTGACCTCAGCTTCAAAATGGCGTCACATGCAAGTATAAATATTTGAATGAAATTTTATTAATATAAACAACAGAGAAAATTGTTGTTGATACAGCGTTGAATCTGAAGATACATGCATGTCAGGATTTTTATCAAACATATATAGAACATCCCGAATGGAAACTACGATTTTTTGTAGGCAAATTTCCGAACGTTCAAGGTTGCGTACTTAACCAAATATCATGAAATATGCCAGTTCCTTTTCTTTCCATATCGCAAGGCCGTCGGAAGTAAATCAGTATTGGGAGGCTCAAGAATAAATCTGAATAAATCTGAATTGCTTTCGCAGATTTATAGTTCTTTTGTGTGTTTTGCTTATACAAATGGAAATTATTGGGGAGGGGGAGGGGGGCTCAATGTATCGAGATTTCCCGGAATTTAATTTAAATGGTCTTAACAATCAAGCACATAATTCAAGTGACAAAGACTGACATCATTCAACTTTCCATATTCCACGATTGCTAAATTTAGATTATTCTTTATTCTTCCTTAGACAGGTCATGTTGTTTTGAAGTCAAACCTCAACCATTTTGCAACATTGGAATCCAAAGAACTGTGCTCAACGATACCATGCAAGATAAAGTCATCTTTAAACTAAGCACGTATCTGCCGTTATTCCATGCATTGGACTCACTCAACCTTTCCCATTGTGCCAGCCAGTTATCAATTTATCTTTGTATGAAGAATTTCGAATTCCAGTTTTGCCGTTCAGGACTCGGTGACAGAGAGGAATGTTCAGGAAATATAGTCATGACCTCCCGTCAAACATGTTTATATTTTGTCAATACTTCATCACCTTGTTCTTTAAGTGGCATCAATACTACCCTTCAAAATGCTGGCTATAATATCCCGGTATCACTAACAGACTTCGATTGCTCAACATTGCCAATCGAGCCCAACACGGGCCAGGATGGAAGAGGTGTGCTATTGATATCCCTAGAACGATTAAGTAAGTGACTGGGTGATTTGGTGCCTTTTTTTAAACAAAATATTGCAAATTTGTTTCCTTATACCTAAATTTTCAAAAAATAACCGAAATTTTTCCCCAATTATCAAAATTTTTTCAAAAAATACAAATTTTCTGGGGGGAGCTAAGCCCCCCCACTTTTACTTCTGGGGGGGCTTTAGCCCCCCTAGCCCCCCCTGTTCCGCCGCCCCTGATACCAAACGTTTTTGCCGATTTAGTTATATAAATCTAGTTTTGATAGCATTATTCTGGATGCCTGGAATCCGCGATAAATCGGCGTTTCATAGTACGAAACATAAGCATCCTAATAGCTAGTGGGCGTATTAAATGTTTGGCTAACATATTAAAATTCAATAAAGCTATATACCTGCCTTGTTAAAACGGGCCAAGCCATTGAGCTATGTTTCGTATATTATGAAACGTTGTTTTGTCACAGTGTCAGCCCAGGCATCCAGCTGGCATGATGACATCAAAATGTTGTATAAGTTGTCGCTAATTGCTGAGTGTAGTATAACTATCGTAGATTCAAGGTTTTAATAAAAACTAATTTTTATTAGTTTTAAACATTCCGAATATTTTTCGATTGTGATTTTAAGGTATAGCGATGTAATTTGTTATTTTCATACTAAACGGCTTAGAAATAACTATAAGTCGTTTGTGAGTGACGTCGCATATCGCAGATAATCGTACATGCTGAAATGCAGAATTCGGAAGGTTCCGCACTGGTACACAGTGTGATATGGACCTCGTAATCAGTCAATCAAAAGATTAATAAAGGTTCCTTTTTGGATACGTGTTAGTACTAACGTTATTAAGGCGAGACTTTTTTTATTCATTGGTTTACGGATCCGCCGACCGTAAATATTCAGAAAGTGAAAAATAAGAAAAAAAATTGGATGTCAAAAATTTTACAATTTTAGTTAATTTTAATTAATTTGGGGTTCTGGCATGAAGTACACTTCAAGTGAACTTTGACTCTAGGTACTGCTGGCTCATGTTATCGTTATGACAATCAATATGTAGATTAGCCACGTTTTGTTTTTTTAAATTGACGTTAAAAAATTTTATAAAGGTTATTAATTTCGGTTCTCATTTATACTCAGTTCGTTTTGTTGTTTTTTTAATTTTTTTCCGACCTACCGACCTCTTATTTTTAAAGTCAAATCCGTAAACCAATAAATAAAAAAAGTCTCGCCTAAAGCAGGTTTTGTTAACATTTTAAATTATCTTATAGTAGGCCTAGCACGTGTTTTGTTAATACCCAACATCACGAATGGACATAATATACCTCGTTTAAGCAATGTTGCTGTATCAAAGCCCAATTCAAACAGTTTAAATGTTAACTGGAAAATGAATGGCGAGAGGGACAAAATTGAGGAATATGGAATATTATGGAGGAAGCGTGCAGAAAATGAAGCACCCGCGTACCAGCATATCCACACGAAAGTGGAAAATCATGTATTCACTAATATAGACCCGAATGTGCAATACGAAGTGTTGGTAACTGCAATAGCACCAAATTGGGTTCCAGAGCCATTTACGCTTGTGGTGTCACCAGAAGTTAGCTTCAATGGTTAGTCAAAGCTCAGTTTTTTGCCAGCGACACATATAATGAGCATGATAGAGACAAAACAACCATGAGGCTAAGGACATGCATGGGCTAACAAAACAAATTTATAAGAAAATCCTATTTCAGTATCGTCTTCATATTAACCGTTTCATAACGTTAATTAACTTTGTTTTCTCTTTAATTCTTTCTCGCTTGTAGAATAGTATTATATAGACTTATAGTAATTGGGAACATGCACCCGTGATTATACTAAAAGTTTTAATGTATAATTATTTGGCTGGTGCTAAAATAGTGTTCAAGTTTAATGACGAATTTCTAAACGACTGAAGAGTGAAGTAGGAGAAATTTTAACGTTAACTGATTTACTTTTCGTTTCTGTACGAAAACATTGAACAAACTACTGAGTGTCTGGAATATGCTGGAAATAGTCCATTCCCATGGGTGATAAGCAATTTAGATATATGCCTCACTTCAATTTCACTATTTCCATTCATAGAGTTTTGTGAAAGTGAGAAAGTTGGCACACCTGAAGCGTTTGGAATTTTTGTGTGGCCAGAAACTCCAGTTGAAAATCGTTCTACACTTCCTTGTCCTTATAACCCCGAATCCTTTGCGAGCCGTGAGTGTTTGTATGCAAACCCAACAGAAAGTGGTAATGTTTGGGGTCCAATTGATGTCACGAAATGCAAATATAATGACGTACGGAGCAAAGATCTTTTTCTATTGGCACAGGTGAGCACGTACTTAGTGTAAAGGCTTTTGTGAGGCATTCAACCCTGCAGCTAAATGTATAATGTACCACCATTTTTCTGGACGAATACGGTTCCACACTTGCCTTAATTAAGGTGTTTCGTAAATTGATATTATTATTAAGACTGCTGATAAACGTTTCTTCATCAATTGTCAAGAGCATTTCAGTAAGCGGTTAAATCCTAGTAAATTGAACCCTTATTATGTATTCTTATTTCTGAATACTACTACCAAAAGGGATTTTGGATATGAAATTGCATAATGAAGAAAATGTGCGCAAATTGCATGGCGCCTGCATTCTTTTAAGGATGTAATAATATCCAGGCAATCAACTAATACTTTGAAAGGCTGCAAAATTAAGGTGCAATACTCGATAAGTACTTAATTTGAGGTTCTAATTTAATATGCATATTTTGCACTCATTAAGCATTTATTGAGTACTGAATTATTGCAAGCACATAAGTTGTTCGAATGTTGCATAATTGGTATAACATTCACGATCGCGCAACTATTGTGCAATAAAGAAAAAAGATGCCGCCCGAAAATGTAGCATTACATAAAATGTAACATTATTATTACCACGATTAACCCTGCATAATGGGTCCGGCTCACGTTGGGAAAGGGAATAGTGATTGTTATACTGTGATTAAATACATTAAAACTGTAAAATGGCCACAGAGGCCTGTGTGAACTCCATTCCTTTGTGTGCTGTACTGTGGCAAAGTCGCAATAACCTCAATGAAAAGCGTAGTATAGGAATAATCGATATAGCTGCTTAACAAGATTTAAAAAAAAAAATAAAACCTCTTGTTTTAATTGGAGTTCTGACTGTTAACGTTGAATCCACAATAAGTTAAATATTTGAAACTTTATTTTTTCAGAAAGAGGTGAATAATAGCAATGTGGTGGAAACTAGCCAAGAGGTCAAAAACCTGTCTTCAGTCAACCCACCCCAAACACTGCAACCTGGAGACATCAGTAATATCGCCACAGTGTTAGCAAAAATTGTCTCAGTGCCACAGAAAGCCAATGAGGTTGGTTATGATACCGAAATGCGAATTATTTGCTGTGTTTATACTACAAGCCTAAGCCTGTTTTCAGCCTAATTTGTCTCACGCTGATTGGTTGTCAGCCAACCATCAGCGAAAAATACCATGCATGACATGGCCGAGAAAACCAGGCTTATGCTTGTAGCTTATAAATATGGCATAGTTAATTCGGAGTGACAGAATTGTTCATTATATTATGCACTCCCTATATTATTGTATTTGACGACCAATATTTGTAATGGAAGCATTTAAATTTATATTATATCATTTTCGCGCTTCAATTATAAGTATCATTGGGTATAGCTAATAGTATGCCTTCGAGTGAATTTTGGAGAAAGACATGTACGAGTGAGTTTTGATCACATAATGATTTTGATTGTTTTTGAAAAACTCAGTTTTTCAAAGACAATCAAAATCATTATGTGATGCCATCACTTTGTAATGTACGTCATTGAGTTCCTGTGGTATTAAAATGCTTTTTATATACCAACAACGTGGCATTATTGCCAGAGTGAAATTATCTTATGCGTTAGCCATAATAATAACAAGTAAATATATACTTGCATGGTAATCGAAAAAGTTGTGTAGGATTGTTTTAATTGTGCAGTTATCCTTTTCCCACTCTTTCTTTTCCCTTTGACTTGTCGTCTGAGGAAAGGTGTATATTTAATTGTTTCCAGGAAGGATAACGCAGAAATACGAGGAAGATATATATTTATTTTACCTCGATTTACTTATTTTTGTTATGTATATTTATCAAGATTTCTGACGATTTCTTCACCACAGTGGACAATGTACTGGATTCGAGAATAGAGAATGTCTTAGCAAGTCAACAGAACGCAAACTCTTCTTCAAGGTATATGGGGAGAGATATTGAAACGTGATAATGATGGCCCGATATCTATTTCCGGATTTTGATACCTCCTTTTGGTGTATTAATTTTACCGCTTTCCATTGAAGAATAAAGCTTAAGATTTTAACTTTTCCATGCTTCTGTACGTACGTATGAAAACTACATTAATTGGAATGCAACGACGCTTTGGTCGTTCCATTAAAAATGTTTAAATGCGGCAGATATCTTTTCCATAGAAAGTTTTCCTCCTGCTATACCTATAATTATTTATGCTTTCTTCAATATCAGATGTCATTGCAAAGGGGATTATAAGCCGTTCAAGCCAGGGAACTAAATAAAGAAAACTAAGCCACTTAAGAAAACTTACGATGGGGTAACTTGCTCATTTATTTGCAACACCTATGCATGATAAGTAGCGGGCGTTCCCCACGTTTCTTCCAGATCATTTTGCATTTCATCCAACTTGCATGATCATAGGTTTGGGGACTATATATCATTCTTTCATGCCAGTCACATTTTTTTTATTTTTACAGGATTGTCGAAGCTTTAAATAACCTTTTGGAAGCACTGGTCATTGGTCCCAGAAACAAATTTGTAAAAGTGAACAGAAACTACGCCATTAACTTACAGGTTGTCCAACCACAGACTTTTACCGGTCTGTCATTTTCAGGGATTGTCAGAAAATCCCACGAATCATCGTTGAAGAAAAATAGCATTTCAGCAAAAGATGATGACAGCGTTCCAACCGCTGCTAATTCAGCTGCTTCCATTAGTGTTCCTCGAACAGTATTCAACGAATCAACCATTACGAACAGATCCATACAGCAGACGGCTATTTTCGTTCTCTATAAGGAAACAAAGTTCTTCCGTGTTTTCTTTGTCGACAGTAGTGAGACCGCAAACCGTTTGAATAGTTTTGTAATTGCTGGAAGTATTAAGGGATTATCAGTTGCAAATTTAAGCGAGCCAGTTAAAATCGTTCTACAGCGTATCGTGCCAGGAGACACGAACAGTACATTGTGTTCATACTGGGATTTTAACCTTGGAAATTGGTCACAAGAAGGTTGTAGGTTTGAACGAGTTCTTGGAGATGGCAGGATCCTTTGCAACTGTAATCATCTTACCAACTTTGCAATGTTGATGGTAAGTTTATTAATTTATTTTCAATAAATAAACTTTTCTTCACGTGACTGACTTTCACAAAGAAAAAGATGTTGTTGAGAAGTCGCGTTATACAGTGGTAACTAGCAGAGAGATCTTAGGGCAATATGTGCAATCTGATTTACACATGTGTCAAGTAGCATGTTTTCTTAGGTGATAAGTAATTTAAATTAAATTAATTTTGTAATTAAATTGAACACACGAACAAACCATGCAGCTTTAATACATGTGAAAATGTACATAGCCCTACTTGCAGAGTTGCAGTTTTCACAATGCAAATGTTCACGAATAGTGCGATTTGTAGTACATGGACCCAAGGAATTGGAATTCCTTCATATACTTCTAAAAATTAACCTCTGGTTGAAAACACTGATCTGGTTCAAAATTGTATTTTTAGGATATTAATCCGGAGCCCACAAAGCATGACAGAATACTTGGAGTAATAAGTTACGTTGGATGTGCGCTCTCATTGGCCGGACTAATCTTGACAATCATTACGATACTGATATTAAGGTAAATAACAAAAACTGTGTATTAAGTCGGAATATGATGTGAGAAATCGTATACCTTGGCCTGAAATAGTTAAGGTTTCAAGAGCCAAGCGGCTCACCCCCTCCAATAACTTAATTAACTTTTGTTGTACGTGAGTTAGGGCTATTTGCCCCCCCCCCCTCCCTCCCGCCGCCGCACCCATCTCCATGTTTTCAACTTGTTTTTGCTTACGATACCAGTGGATGTTAGTATATCAAACTTTGAATTATTTTTATATTTTAGAGATCTCCGAAACAAAATTCCAAGCCAGATTTTGTTGAACTTCTGCATTGCTTTGTCGTTATCGTTAATTGTGTTCCTTGCCGCTGCTGAGAGGTCAAAAACGTCATCATTAGCCGGCTGTAGGACAGCAGCAATTGCCTTACATTACTTCTTGTTAGCGACATTTTTGTGGATGGCGATCGAAGCATTCAACATGTATCTGGCGTTTGTCAAAGTCTTCCCAAATTCGAGTCCTTCAAAGTTCATGTTGAAGTGTTGCCTCATTGCTTGGGGTAAGGTTTACCATACACATTTTACAGGCAATCATTTGTGAATTTTGTGATTAAATAGAACGCGGCCATATTAATGTTCGCAGCGTTGTTACCGAAGAGAAGCTGAAGAAAGTGCTATATTTACTGTACCTAGTCATGATTCCCGTGAAAACGGTTTTTATGTTTTTTAATTAAACGAACTATTTTACCGAACCTTTGCAGATTTAGTAAAAAAATATTACCCATTCCAGTAATCCAGTTTCGTCTTCAATTTACCAACCAGCCAGAAATAAATCATTTCTAAACTTTGGGGGTCTAGCGTTGGTCACGGCGTACGGTTGGATTTCACGATATATAGGCACATTCTGAAACAGAAAAAGTAAACGAACTATGATTTTGCTACATTGTAGGTTTACCTGTGATAATAGTAGCAATAACAATGATAGCTGCTCTGGACAAATATGGCGACGATACATAGTAAGTGGACTTTTATTTTAGCAGTTATAGCTTGAACTACTAGCAATTCGTTAGTGTACGCCCCTCGCTGGACCCTGAAAACTGAACTCAAGATAATCATTAACTGGAAAATACATGCACGCAGAAACCCTCGCCTTGCTGACAAAACCATTATGTTTTCCGAACATGAAGTATTTAAAGTAGTCATGGTAACACTATAATTTTATTAAGAATTTTTTTATAATTGAAAAATCCCCTAAAAATATCACTTTTAATTACAAAATTATCAATTTCCCAAAAATTTATATGTTATAATTTATATAGGTATTTTATTATACGTGGCTCATTAGTCATTAACAAGTTACTGGAGTTACTTCAGACGAAGGTCCTTCATCTCCAGTAATTCCAGACGAAGGCCTTCGCTCGAAACGTTGAAATTTTCCTTTTTAGCTAGTTAAATCCCTACCAACGAAAGCTTTTTTGTATTATTGGCACTACCTACACTGGCGCGGACAGTTCATTAATTAACATTAGAATTTCAGATTAATTCCTTTTTAGCCAGCCTACCACCTACCATGTGTACAGAGCTAACTTGACAAATAAGATATATCTTCGACTCAGCCTTTTTTCGTTATTGTGCTGCCTTATTTCCGTAAGTAAAGATGTGATTCATGTCGACAGCTAGGTCTGCGAACAGCTCGCCACTTAAGCCGGATTTCCACTTCTGCTAGAAAAATTCTCGGGTCGAAATATTTTGTTCGATTTCTTTTGAATTGCGACTACCGTAATTATGCGAATAAACGACGCGGCGTTTATTAATTTTTTGGCGCTCGAGGGCGGCGTTTATTGCAAATTTTGTAATAACAAGTGTGCATTTATTGTTTAATTAAAACTCAACTTCAACACTTAATTAACCCAAAAAACTAAGAATAAAGTTCATATGTTATGAATGCTTCGAATAAACGCCGCATCGATGAGAAATAATGCGGCGTTTATTCGAGGGCGGCGTTTAATAATATTTTTGCTTCTCCCTACGGCGTTTATTCGATGGCGGCGTTAATGCGAGGGAGACGTTTATACGAGTAATTACGGTATCCGAATAAATCAGTTCTACTTGACCGCTCACAATTCAAAAGAAATTGAACAAAAATTCGAATTATACTAGGGCTGTTCCAGCCTGCAGGTATAATTTAGGTTATATGAGGGAACGAAGGAAGAAATATATGAGAATACTAGCGGTATGGCTTACCAATCTGTGCTTCACATCACATTTTAACCCAAAGAAATCTCTGGTAAAAAAACCCAACAACCCCCCTGATCTGATGCGTCCCATAATCCACCTGTGGCTTATTTAACCCTGAGATGAAATGGGCGGGTGTAAGGGTGGGAATCATATATTTCTCCCTTCGTTCCCTCATATAACCTAAATTATACCTGCAGGCTGGAACAGCCCTAGTATAATTTGAATTATATTTCGGGAACTCCGGTCGAAATATATGAGAATACTAGCGGTAGAGTTTAACACTACAATGGTGAACCGCCAAAACGAACTTTATTATTTAGCTCTGTAGATACAATAAGTCTAAAGACTTGTTTGCAATTATTTTAACACAGCACGACCAAAGTTTTGTGTTGATACCATTGGTCTATAATAAAATTGTCTGAAAGTCGATTCCTTATTCCAGTCAGCCATCTTTAAGATCTCCTCTAACGGAACTGACCCATTAGCAGCAGCTGATGTTGCTGCTCCTCTTACTGAATGTGCTTTGAAAATCTCAGTGTCTATCCCAGCCTGGCCCAGCAGTGAGCGAATCCAGCGAGCTAGTGTTGATGGAGTAACTGGTTTGTGAGGTTTAATAAATGAAAGAAACAACTTATTGGGTTGGTCCTTCATAATTCTTCTAAATTCAGCCGTCATTGAGATGTATTTTTGGAAACAAGCTACCGGACATAACCTTTTGTCATCTGGGAAACAAGTATAAAACGCAGGAACGGTTTCATCTGGACGAGTTGTCTTTGTAGTAAATAAGGTGAAAGTTAAGCCTTCTGGGGATAACTTGTAATGATTAAGGTCCAAATTTGAGAGAGAGGAGACTCTCTTAGGGCATGTCAAGGCAAAGAGAGTTGCCAACTTTAGGAAAAGCTGTTTCAATTTAAGAGTGGCGTTGTCTCCCATTTGCTTAAAGCACGCTGTTACCGTATGAACGTCCCATGTGTGCGTGTATCTGGGTTTTGGAGGGCGATTGTTTAGAATACCTCTCATCAGGTTTATCACATATGGATGTTGTCCGACTAGATAACCGTCGATTCGTGGATGGGTTGATGACAAAGCAGATCTCAGAACATTCATGGTTCTATATTCCAAACCGGAGGCGAATGAGTCCGCCAATAATGTAAGGACGTTGCTCAAAGTTGATGAAATTGGATTAATTTGCCTTGTAGAACACCAGCGGCTCCAACGCTGCCAGCTAGATTCGTAGGTTTTGCGTGTGGAACTACGAGTGGCTGTAATGAGTAGTTTTCTAACGTATTCAGGAAGGCCTTCTGCCTGGTAACGTCGTTCGAGATGTGAAATACGCCCAAATGTAGACGTGGGTACATCGGGTGAATCAAGGAAGGGTCGGTTGGATCCTTCAAGAGATGTTTGTTGTTTGGTAGCAGGACAGGTTGCTGTACAAGAAGACTGAGTAACAGAGGCCACCAAGGCTGAGCTTGCCAAATTGGAGCTATCAAGAGAATCTCTGTCTGGTCCGACAAGACTTTTTTGAGGACCATGGGGACCAAGTTGAAGGGAGAGAAAGCATATCCCGCAAGTCCCTTCCAGCTCACCGTGAAGGCATCCCAATGGTAAGCCTCTGGGTCTGGTCTCCAGCTGATGTAATTTGTTAGTTGTCGTGTTAGACGAGAGGCGAAGAGATCCGTCCGACAGTTCTTCAGGAACGGTTTTATAGTTTTGGGATCGATCATCCAGTCGCTGTTGTCCAGAAACTGCCTGGATTCGAGGTCTGCTTGAATGTTGAGCTTCCCTGGAAGGTGGTGGGCTATGACAAATAGGTCCTTCTGATTGCACCAATCCCACAGTTCTAATGTCAGCTCTAGTAATTGCAATGAGTGGGTGCCCCCCTTGTGATTTATGTAAGCAACCGAGGTGGAATTGTCCATGTTCAATGACACTGTCATTGAACGGTGGTTCTTCAAGAGGGACTTCAGGCCTAGAAAGGCAGCTTTGAGTTCGAGAATATTGATGTGTAACAACCTCTCGGTGGCAGACCATTTTCCGTTGGTTTGGTAACCCCACCTGTTTGGTAACCCCACCCCTGTTTCGAGGCATCGGAAAATATTGTTACATCCGGGGGAGGCACCGTAATTGGGCTGCCATTGAGTGTCATAATATTCTGAAACCACCAATGGATTTCCGCTTTCTGTTTGCCTGGAAGTTGAATTCTCGTCTCGTAATTGTGATCTGAAGTGTGTAGGTTGCGAATAAGCAGAGCTTGAAGAAAACGAAAGTGAAGAGCAGCCTTCCAGATTGCTGGACGGTAAGATTCTAGTAACCCCAACAGTTGAGCTATGCTCCTTAATGCAGGTTTCTCGGTTTTCAGGGTTTGACGACACAATGTTTGCAGTTTGTTTACCTTTTCCTGGGGTAGCAAAATCATCATTGTGTTCGAATTGATAATGAAACCCAGGAATTGGATCACCTGAGTAGGAGTCATGATGGACTTCTCCTTGTTTATGATGAAACCAAGGGACTCCAATAACTCTATTGCCATTACCGTGAACTGGCTTGTCTCTTCCGGAGATGCTCCGATAATTAACATATCGTCCAGGTAAATTACCAGACGGACCCCTCGCTTCCGTAAGTAGCTCGCTACTGGTTTCATTAACCGAGTGAAGATCATTGGAGCTATGTTTAGGCCGAAGGGGAGTGCTTTGAACTGATAGGTTTTGGTTTTCCAGCAGAACCGAAGGTATTTTTGTGATTGAGGATGAATTGCAACCGAAAGATATGCATCCTTTAGGTCCAATTTTGTCATGTAGTACCCCTGTTGTAGGAGGGTTTTTATCGAGGAAAGATGTTCCATCTGGAAATGTTGTGTTTCTATGTACTGATTCAACGAGCTTAGGTCTATAACCGGTCTCATACCGCCGTCCTTTTTGGGAACTAAGAACATGCGACTGTAATAAGCGTCTTTGGCAAAGGGGACTTCGCAAATTGCCCCTTTCGTTAGAAGGTCTGACACCTCCTTGTCCATAAGTGTTTCTGACTCTGAACGGACTTGAGTCATTTGTGCAGTTTTTTGAACAGGAACGCAACGAAAAGGAATTTTTAAACCGGAAACAACATCTAGAATAAATGGGTCTGCTGTCAGACCCTGCCACTGTTCGAAGTGGTGTGGTAATTTGGCGGCCGTTGGAAACGAGACTGGGGGGTACGAAAAACCCGACCCCTCTTGTTTTGAGTTTTGTATTTAGTAGACTGAGAGAAACTTCTGCTTGGTTGTTTCGGGTCTTGGTTATAAATTTTGGGGGCCGTAGGCGCCAGATTTTTTGCCAAACCCCGTGATAGCTCGGCTTCCTTGGATGCAATGGAGGGAAAATCGTCTCCAAATAGCCATCTTTGGGCGTTTGGCAATGGCTGGTTTGCCAAATCAATTTTTGATTTGTTAATGGCTGCAAGTACTTTCTTGCGGCGGAGTACCGATAATTGTGTGTTAGCCGAACCCACTAAACAGAGGGATTGTTCGACAAGCAACTTGAGCTCAGTAGGGTTAACAGGAAGGTTGTTTTCTAAACGGTCATGCAATGTGCATAACGGGCCTGTGATGTTCAACATAGCACGTTGAACAACAGCGAGCTCTTTATCTCTCTCCTGCACAAACTTTTTATTTTGATGAGAAACATGAGACAACATTGGTGGATCTAGAGTAGGAGCAACGAGGGAATCTACCTGAGGAATAGCTTGTTCCTCCAAAATATCACAAATGTGATCAAAGGATAGTTTCCTTCGAAAATTTTTCTCTAAAAAATCTTTAAACTCCTGAGATGGAGACCACGAGGTTGTAACAGCTTCGGGGTCGTATAACCCCGGCTGACCTTCGCTAGCTTTGCTGAGTTCAACTGATTGTTGTTTTGAAGGATCAATTCTGTCGCCGTAAATATCATCGCTAGTGTTTAGCTGTACGGCAGAGTTTGGTGGCTTAATAGCCTGCTCTGATGGCTCAATAGCCTGCTCTGGTGGCTCAATAGCCAGATCCTCAAAATTTTCAGGATTGTCGTTTCCCGCCAAAATCGAAAGCGTGTCGTCGTCCAGGCTATGCTCTGGTTGCCTTTCTGAGTGCGAATGTGCCATATTCTCGCGAATAAAGACATCTTCGAGCTGGGAAATTCTTTTATTACACCCATCCATGTTAGATTTAAGATCTGAAACTGTAGATGAGATGGCACGAAGCTGGCGAAGCATTTCTTCGTCAATTTTGGCATGGTCTGACTCGAGGTCTGACTGCTCTGTTGAGCTTGACGACTTATTAGACTTCGAAGAGCGATGTGTAGAATCGCGAGAATGAGACCTTTTTCGCTTGTGGTGACTCGACATGGTCTGTTCGCGTGTGAAGCACAAGGTAAAAAAGCCACAGGTGGATTATGGGACGGATCGGATCAGGGGGGTGTTGTTGGGGTTTTTACCAGAGATTTCTTTGGGTTAAAATGTGATGTGAAGCACAGATTGGTAAGCCATACCGCTAGTATTCTCATATATTTCGACCGGAGTTCCCGAAATATAATCTATCTTATACACCACAATTTCTCTAGTAAGCATAATATAAACAAAGAATGAATAGGCATTTCTCGAATTTGCTTGAGTGCATACACACAATACAGTAGTTACGAAACAATAACTTGAAATCGAGGAGGACAATACATTCCATTGTATATAAGCAGTTTTCATTTCTGACCAGGAAGTTCGGGCATTTCCAATTTGGCGTATACATTTGGAAACGTATGCAGTTGTAATTTGATGAGATATGATAATAATTAGCAGGTATACGCACGCAAATCACGCGTTTCCCAAAGTAATATCTAGTATTAGCCGTATGTTACCAAAAATATCCCGCAAGCTATAGTAAGTCTCGACATAATGCTAGTTAACTTTTTGTATACAGGGTTTATTACCGGTCAAGTGGATGGCAATTGAAGCGATTATTCAAAGATTATTTACAGAAAAAAGCGACGTGTAAGTTTATAGTGAATTATTTTGTTATACTAAAACACGCATCATCCATAAGCAAATCATCAAATTGCTGTGTCTAAAACTCCTCTTTCTTTTTAGTTGGTCGTTTGGCATTGTGCTATGGGAATTGTTTACTTTGGGTAAGATCCGTACATCCTACTAATGCAGATGAAATTTTTGCCTAAAAGGACCATATCTCATGTAAATAAGATACTCCCAAGAAAGAGCACCCTGCTAACCTTTTCCTTTCTACAGGGAGTAAAATTTTCGCTGGGAAGGCATTTAGAATGAGTTTACAGTTGGTATCTAAACTACCGGAATAAAATTATATAAAAATATATAGCTATGCTCTATATTGTCTTCAAATTGTCCTGGTTAACGTATGGAAATAACCCCATTTGCAGGGGTTTCAGAATGATTTGAAGTAGGCGATTGTACCAAAAAAGTAGCCGGCTATGACTGATAGTAAAAAAAAACGCGCAGGGAGGGGGAGGGGGGCGTGCCCTCGCATGGAAATTTAAAAAATATTCGCGCGCAAATTAACAATTAAATAATATAGAATAAGTGAGAAGATAAAGTACAACTGTTCACTTGTTAGATTTAGATGTCATTTGCATTTATACTTGTAAGTGACAATGTACTTTAATGTGCTACTTGTAGTTTAATCACCAGGGGGGTTTGCTGTCCGGAAAATGAAGACGCAATTTACAAACAAAAATATGCATATTCTACGCACAGATATATTACAGTAGCTGAGTAGCATGCAGTGCCGTAGGAAGCTCTTTTTGACTAGGGGGCTGAGAATGAGGGCCGAAGGCCCAAGGAAATTTCTTAATTTAGAGTCTCTGAAATGCCATTTCCTGGACTTTGGGGAAGTTTAGAACAGAATTCTGATGGTCAGAAAACAGCGTTCTAGTATGTCGAAATTTACAATTTGTTTACAATTTAGTAGTACTAAATGGGCGAAGGCGTATTTAGTTAACTATATACTGGAGAAGTTGCAGGAAAATATGGGTAATATGATTCTTTGCAGTTTGTAATGGATAATGTAGCCGCTTAAAATTAATCAATTTTAAGTATTTTAAAGGTATATTATTTAAATGATAAAGGTATGCATGAATATTTACCGATTTACGATTTGTTAAATGTTAATATCCATGTAAATGCCATGATTTCGTAAATCAGTTTATACTGACAATACAATTATATTATATTTTCTCTGTTTAACAACTAAAATTTTGTTATACTATTATTGCCGTAATTTTCCGAATGGTCAACCCGATTTTCCGAATATGTTAATTCTACGCTATAATGCTACGGCCCAGAGTTTTTTACTTCATCACTTTATCATAATTAATTCGTTGTCAAAGAATTAGTCACTTGCCAAAAACATTTACCAAAGTGGCTCTGAAGGTTCTCTGGCTCACTGTCAAATTCGGATTCCCCAATGGCAATGCTTAA